TCCGCCAGCGCGCGCTCCGGCCCCACCTCCTGGGCGCCCGGGCGGGATGCGCCGCTTGGAGCGCGTCCCTGTCCCTTGCGAAGGCTTGGCAGCCCCGGGCCACGCTCTCGAGGATTCGCTCTTTCGCAAGCGGTCCTCGATGATTTCATTCAGGCAGCATCGCGAACGGCCCACGGCCCCAAGACGAGCCTATTTTGTTTTCTTTTCTATACCTCTTCTGTTTAACCAGAAACAAACGAAACTTCGCTCTCCCTCCTTTCAGAGCCCACGACAGTGCATTGTTTTAACAACGTTGGGTTATGGACATTTTCAAACACAAAGTTGAAAGAATTTTACGGTGAACATCTTACCTTTACCTTTGGAGTATTTTAACATCATTAGAATTTTTACTGTGCCTTATCACAGTACACCTCTATTCATCAGTCCTTTTGATACATTCCTAAATGATGCTGCATTTTTTTTAAACTTTTTTTTTTTTAACGTTTATTTATTTTTGGGACAGATAGAGACAGAGCATGAACGGGGGAGGGGCAGAGAGAGAGGGAGACACAGAATCGGAAACAGGCTCCAGGCTCTGAGCCATCAGCCCAGAGCCCGACGCGGGGCTCGAACTCACGGACCGCGAGATCGTGACCTGGCTGAAGTCGGACGCTGAACCGACTGCGCCACCCAGGCGCCCCGATGCTGCATTTTTTAAAAAGACCCATTATACTCATGATGACAATTATAATATATTGAGCTCTTCAGTGTCCGGTACTGTACTAAGCTCATTAGCACACTTTAAGCTCTATCACATGGAATCTTCCAAAACCACGCTGTAATGACACCCCTATCACAGGAGGCAGGGGCCTGGAGACCGGGTTAAAACATTTAGCCGAGTGTCAGAGTAATAGGCGACCGCATGTGTAGGTGGCTTATATTTCGAAACTGCTTTGCTTCTGACATTGTGGATCAAGGACTATTTGCATCAGACTCTCCGGAAAATCTGGTTGACACGAAGATTCTCAGCTGAAGTTAGCACTGGACAGAATTTGTATTCCTCTATCTGTCTCAAATGGTGCTTTGGAAGCATTAATAAAATCTGGGTGTTTGAGGGGATGGGTTAACAATACGCTTTGTCAGCTTTGTTTTCTTTATGCAAATCTGTGTGCATCTCAGGGTGTTTCAGTGACCATTGTGACTTTAATGAAAGAAGAGGTGGATTGTGGAGTCAGGGAGACCCTAGTGTGAATCTGACTGATTTGAATCTCAGCCTTGTCACATGGGGCCAATGACCTCAGTTTTCATAGGCTTAGTTTGCTCATCCGTAACAAAGGGATATTAATGTCTACTCTCAGAAGGCTAATGTTGGGGTTCAAGGAGATTGTGTGTCAAAGAGCTTGGTCCACAGGGGGTTTCCAAGAAAGGCTATTCTTCATTCTGTTGGTGTTTATTCTTTCTGCTTGACGGCTCAAGTCTTTCCACTGGGAGGAGGTTTACAAAACCAAATAGAACCTATATAATTTTAAATAATCTCTTCCATTCCTCTTACCCTAACTGCTCACCCCAGGCAACTATCATACAGATATTTACAAGGATCAGGCAGGTAACTTAAATAAGGACAGTGTGCTGGGTGAACTGCAGAGCAGGTATTTCTATCTGAAGGGGCAGCCGTTAGTCAACTTCCAGCTCATTATTGCTAGGGCTCACTGTAGCCAGATATTCCAAATTCTAAAGAGAAAACCGAACTATTTTCTTTGTGGGAAACATTCTTCCTTCTCTTTCTACAAGGCTGTCTCTGCTATATTTGGATCCTCTCTACAAAATTTAGAACCAGCTCACTAAATTCCAAGAAACCACTTTTTGGGATTTCAATCGGAATTGCATTGCGTTTGTACAGAACTGCCATTTGATAATACTAAATCACCTCATCTATGACCTCACTGGATTTCTCATTTAAGTCTTATTTTGATAAACTTCAATAACATTTTATAGTTTTCTTCATACACGTCTTGCATAATTAAAAAATTCATTTTGGGACACCTGGGTGGCTCTGACAGTTAAGTATCCGACTCTTGATCTCGGCTCAGGTCCTGATCTCACAGTTTGTGAGTTTGAGCACTGCACTGGGCTCTGTGCTGGCAACATGGAGCCTGCTTGGGATTCTGTCTCCCTCTCTCTCTGCCTCTACCCCACTCATTCTTGTTCTCTCTAGAAATAAATAAACTTAAAAATCAATTTAAAAAGGGAATACAAATTGAATTTTGTGTATTAACAACAACGCTGACACCTTTTAAAATTTCCAATGGTTTTTAAAATCACTTAAAAAAATTTTTTTTTAAGTTTATTTATTTTGAGAGAGACAGAAACAGTGTGAGTGGGGTGGGCAGAGGGAGAGGGAGGGAGAGAATCCCAGGCAGGCTCCAGTGCAGAGCCCGATGGGGGGCTCAAACTCACAAACTGTTGGATCATGACCTGAATTGAAACCAAGAGTCACACAAGACGCTTAACCGACTGAGCCACCCAGGTGCCCCTCACCTTGCTTTTCTATGTTGATACGTTCAGCCATATTGTCTGAATAACAAAGGTTTTGGTCTTTCTGTTCAGATCTAACAGTTCTTCTTGGGGGCGCCTGGGTGGCTCAGTCGGTTGAGCTTTCGGCTCAGGTCATGATTTCGCGGTCCGTGAGTTCGAGACCCGCGTCAGCCTCTGGGCTGATGTCTCAGAGCCGGGAGCCAGCTTCCGATTCTGTGTCTCCCTCTCTCTCTGCCCCTCCCCTGTTCATGCTCTGTCTCTCTCTGTCTCAAAAATAAATAAATGTTAAAAAAAAAATTTTTTTTAAAACAGTTCTTCTTGGCTTACTGCACTATCCAGGACCTCTCATCCAACCAAACATATATTAAGCATATTTGTTTTATTTCTGACTACAAAGAAATGTTTGTATTTTGAAAAGCTTTGACCTGTGGATTGGGTTCTGGCTCCATCTGAAATTTTACTAGCCACATCTTATATTGGAAGATTTTGTCGGTATGTGTATGGCCATTCCTTCCATCGATTCCCTTTTTCTCAGGTCAAATTTTGCAGATCCAAGATTTCTGTAGTCTCTTTTGGTCATTTTTAGCTTTATTTCTTGTTGATTATCACTGTCAGCAATCTTCCCTAAGAGTTGGGTAAAAGACTGAAAATTTACATTTCTCAGTGAATTTCTTTAGAAATTGTCAGCCATTCTCCTTAGCAGTCAGATTGGCCTACTGCAGAGATCATTGAACCAGGAGCTACAGGGGCCAGGCAGGTACTCTGAAAAACTCCGTCCAGATGGGCACTGAGGCCATCTACAGAGGGGAGACTTTACTCATTTCTGGCAAATTATTGCCATGGAAGGATATCAGAATTGGTCAGTTTGGCGCCTCAGTCTGGGTTCTTATTGACAGACTTCTGGCATTGCACTTTTTTTTTTTTAAAGGTTAGTTAGGAGACTGTGACAGAGGCATGCTTTGAGATGGACCTTGAAATAAGAAGCAGGTTTTGGAGAGGAAGACAGAGGAAAAAAAAAAAAAAAAAAGTCTGTGGGCCAGGCAGGTCTCTCTGTGCTGCAAGGTTGTAGATTGGGTGTGAGAGGAAAGCAAAGTATGTGTATGGGTGGGTGGTGGTAGAAAGCGGTATAATTCCACATATACTTTGAAGGTATTGCTGACAGACTTGGATGTGGGGTGAGAGGTAAATCAAAAGATGAGTCAAGGGGGAGGGGTGCGCATGGGTGGCTCAGCCAGTTAAACATCCAACTCTTGATTTCAGCTCGGGTCATGATCTCAAGGTTCATGAGTTCAAGCCCTGCGTTGGGCTCTGTGTGGACAGTGCAGAGCCTGCTTAGCCCCTTCCCCTGCTCGCACTCTTTCTCTCAAAATAAATATATATATATTTTTAAAAAAAGGATGGGTCAAGGATGACTCCAGGAAGAGAGTTGCCATTTTGAGTTGGGGGAAAGAGTTGCCTGTCAGAGTTGCCTATCAGGCACCCAAGTGGAGATGCTGAGTAGGCAGTTGGATGTATGCGGCTGGAATTCAGCGTAGAGGCTGGAGATACGAGTCTGGGAGGCATCTAGGTAGAGATGACATCTGAGGTCACAAGACTGGAAGGGAACGTGAATGGAGTGTGAGTGGATAAAGAAGAGAGGGCTGGGTTCTAGCCTTGAGACACTCGAAAGGAAAAAGAGGAAGAACCAGCAAAGGAGAAGAGAAGGGGTCAGGAAGCCACTCAAGAGAGTGGTTTCCTGGGCACCACGTTTAGAAAGTGTTTCAAGAGGGGCGCCTGGGTGGCGCAGTCGGTTAAGCGTCCGACTTCAGCCAGGTCACGATCTCGCGGTCCGTGAGTTCGAGCCCCGCGTCGGGCTCTGGGCTGATGGCTCAGAGCCTGGAGCCTGTTTCCGATTCTGTGTCTCCCTCTCTCTCTGCCCCTCCCCCGTTCATGCTCTGTCTCTCTCTGTCCCAAAAATAAATAAACGTTGAAAAAAAAATTAAAAAAAAAAAAAGAAAGTGTTTCAAGGGAGGAGTGATCCGCTGTGTCAAATGCTGCAGATAGGTCAAGAAAGATGAGAAGTGACTGTGGTGTTAGTACAGTGGAGGACACTGGTGGCCTTGACAGGGGCAGGTTCAGTGGAAAGGTGGAAATTCCTGGGGCAGTATCTCAGAGAACAATGAGGGAGGGTAGAATTCTGTGCACAGTTGTAGGAATCTGTCTTAACAGGCAGTTCATACAGTCATAAGAGGGAGGCAATTAGGTGGCTCCACGAGATGATACGAAACTGTGAATTTACTGATCCCCAGGATTTCTTAGTGAAATAGGAAGCAAAATCATTAGCCAAGAATAAGGATGAAGAAGAAAGTGATGGAGGTTTGATGAGAAGAGAAACATGACATAATTCTTTAGGATGATGGCTGGGGCCAGCTGAAGGATGGTATTTAAAACCTAGCTGAGCAGAATGTGGCGAGCTACGTTTCTCCTTGAGAGGTTAGTCCCTCAAGGCGCTCGGTAGTCCGCGTCCGTTTCCTTGGAGACGGACAGCCCGGTCTCGCTGGAAAGTTTGAGCGGCCTAGGTTACCACGTGGTCCACGCTCAGACAGAAGAGTTGCAGAAGCCGAATAAATAGGCATAGCAAGAGATCGGAGCCCCGCGGACTCACGACTCTTCTTCCACTTTCCCCAATGGCCCATGTCTTTCCAAAGTAAGTAAAAGGAGCATCGATGGGTGGTGAAGTGCGCATGCGTCCCCCACCCCCCGCCCCCGGCTTCTTTTGGTCTGGGCCTAGTTGTCTTTTGACCCCGCCCCCTCCCCGGCCCTCATCTCCCTAGCCCCGCCTCTCCCTCGGGCTCTCCCAGCTCCCGCGCGTTCCAGTGGTAGTTAACTGGGAGACCCTGTTCGCGTTTGCTGTTACAATCCGTGGGTTGGGAGTGATGGACGTTCTTTCCCGCCCCAACTCTTTCCAGACCCAACCGCTCTGGGATTCGCTCCACAGTCCACAACTTCCAGATTCTGGTGAGTCCGGGAGCGCTAAGGAGCAGATTGGGGGCTTGCTGACCCTGGGCCTGCAGTCCTCCTGCCCTGAACCCCCAGGCTGTGACTGTCCCGGGTGATAGAGTCTGGAGACCTGAATTCCAGGCCTGCCTGTGTCACACAGTTGCTGTAGGATCCGGGGGCAATTCTCGGAGCCTGTTTTTTTCTCATCACCTTATCGGAACGTGAGGGTATTTTATACTGCTCTCTTATTTATCTCTGATCGCTACTATGGTTTTCTATTGGGTCTTTTCCATGCCTTCTGTTTCTCACAGTTCTTAGCACCTCACAGCCTGGATGTGCTTAGTAAATTCTGGCTGGCTGATAAAAAAGTGATAGCATTTCTGAAGCTCTTACCACATGCTTCACAAATATCCCTTGGACTGCTCGCATCAACCCGCGGAGGTGGGTTTTATAATTAGACCTAGTTTACAGATGAGAAAAATTGAGGCTCAGAGAAGTAAAGTCACTTGCTCAGGGTCACAGATATCTGTAAGGGGTGAAGCTGGGATTTGAACCCATCAGGCTGTGTGACTGAGTGTGTTGTATCTGGTAGGATTATGTTCCATGGCAGCGGTCCAAGCAGAAAACCAAGCCATCTACTCTGCCTCCAGTCCTACAATCCAGAGGCCGTAAGAAGAGCAGAGTGAAGGCTTTGACTAGTGTCCCGCCAGGTGGGCAGAAACCCTTGAGGGCTGGTATGTGGGCGGGAGCCGGGACAGCCGTGTATGCCCTCGGCCTTTGGTGACATCAACTGTATTAGAGTGGGCTAATTGCGGTAACAAACAATCCCCAAGTTTCAAGGGTTAATATTCAAGCCTATTTCTCATTTCCGTCAAAGAACAATTGTGGATCTGCAGGGGAGGAGGTAATCTTGTCCACATGGTCATTCAGCGATCCAGGCTTCTTTAGCCTTGTGGCTCTGACAGTTTGTGAGGCCTTGGAGTCCTCTGCTAGATACTTCTGCACTCAGAGAGAGAGAGAGAGAAAGAGAGAGAGACAGCAAGGATATGGGTAATTGTGTGGACATTTTTTTTTTTTTTAGACTCGAAGTGATACATATCACTCCCACTCATGTTCCAGTGGCTGTAGCTCAGTCCTATGACTACCCATAACCACAAGAGGAGAAATGTCCTGCTGTGTGTCCAGGAGGCCAAGAAAACAGGGTTTGGTCAACTCAGGATAATCTCCACCACATTGTTGTTATGCCTTCTGAGGGAGTTCTCAGGCCCTTGGCTCAGGCAGACCTGGGTTCACTTCTTGGCTCTGCCCTTTACCATCTTGGAAAAGCCATTCATCTCTCTGAGCTTTAGTTTTCTCATTTTTTTAAAAATGTTTTTTATTTATTTTTGAAAGAGACGGGGAGGCAGAGCATGAGTGGGAGGGAGGAGCAGAGAGAGAGGGAGACACAGAATCTGAAGCAGGCTCCCGGCTCTGAGCCATCAGCACAGAGCCCGACGCGGGGCAGGAACTCATGACCCGCGAGATCATAACCTGAGCCGAAGTCGGACGCTCAACCGACTGAGCCACCCAGGCGCCCCATAGTTTGCTCATTTGTAATATGAGGACCTGATAGGATGGCCGCAAGAATTAAATGAGAAGATCTGCGTCAAGCATTGTTGCTCAACCTTCTCAGACCCAACATTCCTTTTAATAACAAATATTTTGTAATATTCCTTTAGTATCTGAGATAAACTTCATAGATAATATAATTGACCTATGTATGTAATTTTAAAAATCAATATAATGTCCTCAGTGTAAAGTAAAGGAAAAGAAAAAGGAAAGCTGTTTATAGTTAAATAACTTCTATTTTAGTATGTAAATACTCAGGGTGAACTCTATTAGAAGATATGACAAAGTAGGCAGAAGCTTATTCACAGATGCGGAGTCACAGTGAATGTAAGAGTTGCAAATGCAGGCTGACACGTGGTGGGATGTTAGGGACTCAAATGGCCAGAGGGATTTTTCATTGCAGTCACGATTTCCAAAGTGATGCCCCTCTCTTGGTAAAGTTCTTAACAAAACAGAGCACAATCTTCCCTTGATTGTAGCTGCTTTCTTGGAAAATTCAGCATTACCATAACCCCCTACAAAATACTCTTTGTGTTTAAATTTTTTTCTTTAACGTTTATTTATTTTTTGAGAGACAGAGAGAGAGACAGAGCATGAGCAGGGGAGGGACGGAGAGAGGGAGTCACAGAATCCGAAGCAGGCTCCAGGCTCTGAGCTGTCAGCACAGAGCCCGATGCGGGGCTTGAACCCACGATCTGTGAGATCAGACCTGAGCTGAAGTCGGACGCTTAACCAACTGAGCCACCCAGGTGCCCCCTCTTTGTGTTTATACGTGAAAGAGAGTCAGGTTCTGGGATCAGATCATTATAAATATGGTTTTTACCTACATCAGTGTCTGATAGGGCTTTGGAAAGTCATGCAGGAAGTAGGAGACTTCTGTGTTCTGTGGGGCTGTCCTATTCTGGGGCTATCTATCGAGCATCCCTGGCCCCCACCCACAGATGCCCATCGGGACCCCCAGTATTTGTGAGAACCACAAATCCTCCTTTCCGATGTATCTAAAACGCCCCTGTCAAGAGCTTTGGATGTTAAGTGCTGAGCACAAGGCCTGATGGTAGTGACAGAATTTGTGTCCTTGGCTTTAGATCTATTCATACAGCATCCACAGGGAAACTCCTTTCCTTCTGTCACTGGGGAGACAGTGAGATGTGTAACATACAACCACAGTAAGAACCAGAGTAATTAACACAGGCCAAGCACTTATTATGTGCCAGATACTGTTCTCGGCACTTTGCCCACATCACTTCATTTAGTCTTCTCAACAGCCCCGTGAGGTGGGTGCTGTGACGATCACCTCTTCTTCTAGATAAGGCATGGACAGGTGTAACTTCCAAGGTCCCACAGGTAGGAGGGGGCAGGGCCAGGCTGTGACAGTCGGCAGTTTGTCTCCAGGGTGCACAGTCTTAACCACAGGTCGATGGAGAGTCTGTGGGCACCGGAGAAACATGGAACTGAGTTGGTGTTCCTGTCTCCCTTCCTGCAATTCCATCTAGGTTACCTCTCGCAGCCCCCGCTACAGAGATTCCTGCTTTACGCCCGGTGAAATCCTCTGTGTAAATTACAATGATGAAAATAGTTACCACTTGCTGAGGACTTATTTTATGTTAGGCTCTGTTGCAGAGGCGTCATTCATTCATTCATTCATTCATTCATGTATTCATTCAGCAGCATCCATTTGCTGAGTACCCACGTGCCCAAAATTGGGCTGAGTGTTGTTGACTTATGGTGACGGAGACAGATTGGGTTTCCGGCTGCATAGAGTTCACAGTCCCAACCTCAAACATGTAACTACACAAAACTTAAAAAAAAAACAAATTTTTTTTTACGTTTATTTTTATTTATTTTGAGAGAGATACAGAGAAAGCAGGGGAGGGACAGAGAGGGAGACAGAATCCCAAGCAGGCTCTGCGCTGGCAGCACAGAGTCCGATATGGGGCTCGAACTCCCAAACCGTGAGATCATGACCTGAGCCGAAGTCACGAGTCAGAAGGTGTACCGACTGAGCCCCCCAGGAGCCCCTTTTTTTATTTTTTTATGAAAAAATGTTTTTTACGCAAAACTTTCAATACACTTGAGATAGACGGGTACAAGGAGGTCACCACTTCATTTATTCCTTCCGACCTGGGAGATAAAAATCACTATTTTACAGATGAAGGAACTGAGGCTTCGGTTGGTAAAATGTCTTAAGCAAAGTCATGTCCTTGAGGCAAGCTTTCGTGTCTTCGACAAGATGCATCAGCTTATTCCCCCAAGACGGGATGACCCCATTCCTTCTTGTTCCTCCCTTTTGCAACTAAAAAAGCCCTAGATGTAACACAACAAACATAAGAAGACTTTGAAAACTGGAAAGAATAACGTGGGTTGGTTGCTAAAGGGGTGAGCAGTCATCTGGCCTGTATGCTACGTCTCAGCAGGGGACGGACTGTCTGCTAAAATGAAGATTAAGTAGGATCCAGAGTATTATTTAAAACTTGGGGGTGCTTGGGTGGCTCAGTTGGTTAAGTATTGGACTCTTTTTTTAAAATGTTTTTATTTTATTTATTTATTTTTTAATTTTTAATGCTTATTTATTTTTGAGAGAGAGAGAGAGAGAGAGAGAGAGAAAGCATCAGTGGGGAAGGGGCAGAGAGACAAGAGGGAGACACAGAATCTGAAGTAGGCTCCAGGCTCTGAGCTGTCAGCACAGAGCCTGACCCAGGGCTCAAACTTGTGAACCGCAATATCATGACCTGAGCCGAAGTCAGACGCTCAACCATCTGAGCCACCCAGGCACCTCAAACATCAGGCTCTTAATTTCAGCTCAAGTCATGATCTCACGGTTCGTGAGTTCGAGCCCCATGTCGGGCTCTATGCTGACAGCGCAGAGCCTGTTTGGGATTTTCTGTCTCCCTCTCTCTGTGCTCCTTCCCTGCTCACTCTCTATCTCTCTCTCTCAAAAATAAATAAATAAGCATTAAAAATAAACATCAAGGATACGACAAAAGCACTTGTCATACCAAGAATAAGGAAAATCACAACATGAAGGAGAAAAGACAGACATCAACACCAAGATGAGTCAGATAGAATGATTTGACTGTTTTTATTTACAGATGGCATGCCTGTCTATGTAGAGAATCTTAAGGAATCTACTAAATCTAAAAGAAACTAGAATTAATAAGTTTGGCAAGGTTGCAGAATACAAGTACACAAAAAAATCAACCACATTTCTATGTTCTTACAATGAGTATGGGGAAACCAAAATTAAAAATACATTTATAATCCAAAGAAATTGAAATATTTAGGCATAAACTTAACAAAGAATGTATAGGACTTGTATGCTGAAAATTACATAATGCTAATGAAAGAGGTCAAAGAAGACCTAAATAAATGGACAGACATACTATGTTCACAATTATAATACTCAGCATAGTGGGGGCCCCTGGGTGGTTCAGTCGGTTGAGTGTCTGACTTCAGCTCAGGTCATGATCTCACAGTTTGTGGGTTCGAGCCCCACGTCGGGCTCTGTGCTGACAGCTCGGAGCCTGGAGCCTGCTTTAGATTCTGTGTCTCCCTCTCTCTCTCCTCCTCCCCCGCTCACGCTCTGTATCTCAAAAATAAAGAAACATTAAAAAAAAATTAATAAAATTTAAAAAAAGATTCTCTCTCCCTCTCTCTCTTAAAAATAAATAAAAACATTAAAAAAAAAAAAAAAAAAGAACACTCAGCATAGTAAAGATGCCAATTCTCCCCAATTTGATTTCTGTGTATAATGTAATTCCTATCAAAATCCCAGGAAGGTGTTTTATAGACATAGGTTTATTCTAAAATTTATATTGAAAAGCAAGGCCCTAGAATAAACTATTTTGAGAAAGGAGGATAATGTGGGAAGAATCACTTTACCTGATACTAAGGCCTACTATACAGCTACATTAATCAAGACAGCATAGAATGAGCAGAGATAAACACCTACACCAGTGGAATAGGACAGAGAAACCAGAAATAGAGCCACATAAATATGCCTGGCTGATTTTTGACAACGGTGCAAAAACAGCTCAGTGGAGGAAAAGAAAGCCTTTTCCACAAATAGTGCTGGGGCAAGTGGACATCCATAGGCAAAAAGAAAAAACAAACAAAAACAAAAAAACAAAAAGAGAGAGAAAGAAAAACAAAAAGAACCTTGACTTGAGTTTCAGAAGTTAGACAAAACTTAACTCCAAAATGAAATAAAAATTAAATGTGTTCATGTAAAAGTGTACACCTTTTAGGAAAGAAAATACAGGAGAGAAAAATCTTTGGGACCCATGGCCACGTGAAAAGCTCTCAGACTTTATACCAACAGCTTGATCCATAAAAGAAAAATGAAATAAATGGGGAAGTTCGATATCATCAAAAGTAAAAACCTGTTCTGTGAAAGACTCTGTTAAGGGGATGAAAAGACGAGCTACAGACTTGGAGAAAATGTTTGCGAACTGCATCTGACAAAGGACTGCTACGTAGAATAGATTGAGAACTCTTAACAGAAGAACAGTGCAGTTAGCAAATGGGCAAAAGACACGAAGAGACATTTCACTGATGAGGATATCCAGATGGTAAATAATCACATGAAAAGATGTTTGACATCATTATCCATTAGGGCCGTGCAAGTTACACCACAGTGACTTGTCACCACACGCCTATCAGACTGGCTAAAATGAAAAATAGTGATAACACCGAATGCCGGCAAAGAGGAGAAGCTGGACGATGCATGTGTTGCTGGTGGGCATGTAAAATGCTACAGCTGCTCTGGAAAAGACTTCGGCAGTTTCTAATGAAACCAACATGCAGTTCTCATCACGGTTCAACAATTGCACTCTTGGGCATTCATTCCCGTGACGTGACAACTTAGGGTCACACAAAAACCAGTGCATGAATGTTCCATAGCAGCCTTATTCATAATACTCTCAAACTGGAAGCAATCCAGATGTCCTTTAATGGTTAATGGTTAAATAAGCTATGGTACATCCATACCACGGAATACTATCCATTGATAAAAAGGAAAGGATTGTTCAGATTCTGTGTCTCCCTCCGTCTCTCTGCCCTTCCTCTGCTCGTGCTCTGTCTGTCTCTCGCAAAAATAAAAGGAACGGATTGTTGATACAGTCGATAACTTGGATGAATCCACAGAATTTTGCTGAGTGAAAAAAAGCCAATTCCAGAAGTTGTATATTCTACGATTCCATTTATGTAGCATTCTGGGAATGACAAAATTGTAGAAATGGAGAACGGATGAGTGATCACCAGGGGTTAGGGACACAGGCTGGGGGAGGGTGGTAAGGGGAGGGGAAGAGACTATGGCTATAAAAGGCAACATGAGGGGCGCCTGCTCAGTCGGTTAAGCGGCCGACTTCGGCTCAGATCATGATCTCGCGGTCCGTGAGTTCGAGCCCCGCGTCGGGCTCTGTGCTGACAGCTCAGAGCCTGGAGCCTGTTTCAGATTCTGTGTCTCCCTCTCTCTGACCCTCCCCTGTTCATGCTCTGTCTCTCCCTGTCTCAAAAATAAATAAAACATTAAAAAAAAAACATTTAAAAAAGGCAACATGAGCTATGCTTGCGGTGATGGAAACGTTCTATATCTTGCCTGTCTTAACATCAATTTCATGGTTCTGAAATTGTAGGTGATTTTGCAAAATGCTACCATTGGGAGAGACTGGGTTAAGGATACAGAAGATCTCTCTCTGTGTGTGTGTTTTTTTTAATGTTTTATTTAATTTTGAGAGCAAGAGAGTGTGAGCAGGGGAGGGGCAGAGAGAGAGGGGAACGGGGGATCCGAAGTGGGCTCAGTACTGACAACAGCAAGTCCGATATGGGGCTCAAACTCATGAACCTTGGGATCATGACCTGAGCCGAAGTCAGATGCTTAACTGACTGAGCCACCCAGGTGCCCCAGTAATAAATTTAATTAAAAATAAAAAAGATATATCAGGGCTACTGCCATTAATGAAAATAAATTGTCGTTATTAAAGCTACAAATCTCCCTAACTATTTGAGTTCAACTTACTAATCTTATAATTTTTACAAACACTTCTAAGGGGGATTTGGGAAGTTGGTTAATTAATTTCCCCTAATTCTTTTAAGCCACATCTTAAAGTTTCATATATTGAATTTTCATTTTCAAAGGGTTCGCTTGTCTGATTCACAAAGACCATCAAGCATTTAAATAATGCTTGTACATCTAATAAATAAACTTCGAGATATGGGTAATCTTATGTCCTCTCATGTTTCGGTAATTTATACACATTTAATAAGAACGTCTTAAACTTTTAATTTGAAACAAATCTAAATCAAAATCTCATTTACACATTTTAAATTAGAACCACAATATTAATCTATTAATCATTCCATCTTTTAAACACTACAATTAAATACCCGGCGTATACAGATAACTCATAACTTTAACACAACATTATTGTAGTTTACTTCATCACTTCAGCAGTTAATGCTAACATCTTCCAGGGTTAGCTGTGTCGATGCATTGAAGAAATAATATTTTTCTGAATTGTACTGGGTTGCACCTGGAGTAGGGATTTGGGTGGGGGGGTGGCGGGGACGAGAATGTGGCCACAGCATTCATGATGATTTGGGTGATTTTTTTTTTTTAATTTATTTTTGAGAGAGAGAGAGAGAGCACAAGCAGGGGAGGGGCAGAGAGAGTGGGGGACAGAGGATCTAAAGCAGGCTCTGTGCTGACTGTAGAGAGTCCGATGCAGGGCTCGAACCCATGAACCATGAGATCGTGACCTGAGCCGAAGTCAGTCCCTCAACCGGCTGAGCCGCCCAGGTGCCTTGATTTGGGTGATTTGTCCCGGGCTGGCACATGACACGCTGTGAGGAAGCAGGGGTTGGTTCTGAGAACATGTCCTCCAAATGCCTTATTCTGATCGGAACTATTTTCGTATACTCCTTATCTGGCAGGGCCACAGCTTTTAGAGGTATTTCAGACAGCCAGTCGGGAGTTTTGCACAGCTCCTGTGCCTTCGTGTGGTGCTGTGGTTCTGATGCCAATCCTCAGGTCATCAGTAACAGCAGTGACAACGAGAAATGCATATTCAGCACTGAGTGTGGATCAGGCACTTCTCGACACACTTTATTTTATTTATTTATTTTTTTTAATTAAAAAAAAAATTTTTTTTTCAACGTTTATTTATTTTTGGGACAGAGAGAGACAGAGCATGAACGGGGGAGGGGCAGAGAGAGAGGGAGACACAGAATCGGAAACAGGCTCCAGGCTCCGAGCCATCAGCCCAGAGCCCGACGCGGGGCTCGAACTCACGGACCGCGAGATCGTGACCTGGCTGAAGTCGGACGCTCAACCGACTGCGCCACCCAGGCGCCCCTCTCGACACACTTTAAAGCAGAATAACATTTAATCTTCACGACAACCCGATGAAGTAGGCATGATGATCACTCCTGTCTTATAGGTGGGAAAACTGAGGGACGGAGAGGTCATGTGACCCACCCAAATTCACGGGCTAGTGGAAAGCAGCGTCTGGATTCGAACCCAGGCTGTCTGGCTGATTAGTTCCTGCCCTTAACCCCCGCCCTGTCTGACTCTGCTACCGGCCGGGTTGGTGGGAGAGGTTGCGGGCACCCGGCCGTCTCCTGTGCTACCCTTCTCGCTCCTCCCCTCTGTCCGTGTCCAGGGTCACGGGGAAGCCTCCTGCACTTCCCTGTCCCTTACATCAAGGCCCAAAGTGAGGCCTGGGAGCTTAGTGGTAGATGTGAGTTTCATGCTCTGCCTCACTGTCACATATTATAAGGTCGAGAGTGGGTGGGGCTGGGGCCTGGGCCACCTCAATGGATGGTACTGGGACCCGATCCTAGGCCTGCCTATATCCTTACTCCCTCTCTGCCTTTTCCCATGCCCTAGCGTTGCATTCCAAGTCCGCCACGTCGATGACAAGCCAGCTGAGGCAGCCACGAGAAATGCACAGAGAGAAGCTGGACTCTGGAAAGGCACAGGCCAAAATCCGGCTAATGAAGGTAGGAGCATCCTCCCACAGGCACCGGGGCCCAGGGTGGGGGCAGAGGGGTCGGGGGACAGCGATAGCAAACACGCACTGAACATTTGGTGGATGCTGGGCTCATTTCCTCATTAGCAATGCCATGGGCATGCTTATCGTCACCCCCATTTTACAGATGCGTAAAACTGAGGTGCAAGGCGATGAAGGACTTGTACCAGGTCACATAGCCAGAAAATGGTAGTACCAGAGCCACTTAAGCAAAGTGTTTGCCTTTGTGTTTAAGACTAGGAAAATGATCAGAATCGCTTTTTATTTCACTGCATGAGGAACACAATCTGGTGGCTTGTCCTTTAAGACATTTCTAGTAAATGAACCTTTCGTGGAATACGATGCACCTTGAAGCAGGGCTTAGATGCTTACTAGTACATTTTTCACACCTCTGATACAATTTTAGGTAAGCAATTTTCTCACCGTCCATTGTTTTCTATGGCTTCAGAACAACGTTTCAAAGTATTTGAAATGACGAAGAGTCTTTGTGTCCATAGAAGAAAGTAGAATACTGAATACTATAAATACTACAAAATACCGTAGAAGAATTATTAACTTCTTCGAGAAAGTTTTTTTTTTCCAAAAGTTTTTTTTTCCCCATGAAATTTCATGGGTTTGGCTATCAATAAATGTCTGGTAATACATTTCAGATGTTTGTTCATCTTCTGCTTTATTTTTTTATTTTATTTATTTTATTTTTTATTTTTTGCAATATATGAAATTTATTATCAAATTGGTTTCCATACAACACCCAGTGCTCATCCCAAAAGGTGCCCTTCTCAATACCCATCACCCACCCTCTCCTCCCTCCCACCCCCCATCAACCCTCAGTTTGTTTTGAGAAAGTTTTTAAGAGCTCAGTGAACAATTACTAAATAAAGAAATAAGGAAGAATGCTATGAAACCTTTTCTTCCCTTTAACCTTCAATTTTGCAAAAAGGTTCAGAGGTGGCCCAGCGTTCTTAAAGGAGGAACTCATATTTCTGGTGTTTATTGTTATTGTTTTATTATTTTCTTTCTTTTTTTTTTAATTTTTTTTTCAACGTTTATTTATTTTTTTTGGGACAGAGAGAGACAGAGCATGAACCGGGGAGGGGCAGAGAGAGAGGGAGACACAGAATCGGAAACAGGCTCCAGACTCTGAGCCATCAGCCCAGAGCCCGACGCGGGGCTCGAACTCACGGACCGCGAGATCGTGACCTGGCTGAAGTTGGACGCTTAACCGACTGCGCCACCCAGGCGCCCCTCTTTTTTTTTTTTTTTTTAACGTATATTTATTTTTGAGACAGAGAGAGACAGAGCATGAACAGGGGAGGAGCAGAGAGAGGGAGACACAGAATCTGAAACAGGCTCCAGGCTCTGAGCTGTCAGCACAGAGCCCGACACGGGGCTCGAACTCACAGACCGTGAGATCATGACCTGAGCCAAAGTCGGATGCTTAACCGACCGAGCCACCCAGGCGCCCCTATTATTTTCTTTCTTAAAAATTAAAAAAAAAAAAATTTTTTTTTTCAACGTTTTATTTATTTTTGAGACAGAGAGAGACAGAGCATGAATGGGGGAGGGGCAGAGAGAGAGGGAGACACAGAATCGGAAACAGGCTC